CCCTTTAATGTAGCTTGCGCCAACAGTTGTACACAGAAGCAGCTCCGGGCTGATGATGTATGAGGTCAGTGTTGCGCATGCGCCGGTGAGTCTCGTGAAAACCAACGTTTGTTAACAGGAGCAAAGGAAGCAAAGTTTCCTTACTTTAGCAAAGGAAAACCAGTCTCCTCTTGGCTTATATCGAAATCCTCCGACATTCTTCTTTACAAATCCTCGTTTTGTACTTCTAATTCGTGACCGTTGTTTTGTTTTGATCTCTCCCCTGCGCTTCTGTGTTCGTCACTTCTGAGCGGCGCATGCGCAACGCCGACGTCCTACGTCATCCGCCCGGAGCTGCTTCCATGTACAACAGTGAGCGCAAGCTAGATTAAATTGATTATTACGTTTTAAATATGGTTATTTTTCTTACAAAAACGCATCGATTTGCTACAGGAGGCCTTTGTTCACCCCCCGGAGCCATGTGAGGCACTTTTTATTATGGATGGATGAGCTTTATTTCACTTATTTTGGACTGATGCACTGCAACACCCGCTGTCTGCCATTAAACAGCTTGAAAGATCAAAGACCATTTTTAATATAACTCCGACTGGATTCGTATGAAAGAAGAAAGTCATATACACCTAGGATGCCTTGAGGGTGAGTAATTCATGGGCTATTTTTCATTTTTGGGTGAACTAACCATTTAAAATGATTGATTTCAGTTTTCAGTGTTTTATTTTTTAATTAATTTAGACAAATTGAATTTTAATATCAGCCATTTATTGGTTATAGGTAATAACATGAAAATGATTATCAGATGATCAATATTGCCCAGATTTTTTATATCGGTGCATCCCTACTAATAAGTACACAACAAAGTACATGAGTAATTTCAGAGAGCGATACCTTGTATACTCCTCTTGAAGAAGGCTTTGCATCCTTCACATGACCACACGCCATAATGATACCCAGAAGCGTAATCGCTACAGACGGCACAGTAGTGCATGTCAGCTTTACCTCTCAAAGAGGTAGAAGTCTCCTCTGCATCTGCTACCCTCTTTGCCAGCGGTTTGCTATGGAGCAGAGCGGACACATGCATCTGAGTAGCTTTTATGCTAGTAACTAGACAGCCAGTATTATGTAATTGTCCGAAGTAAAAAAATAATTGTATATACTGGTACACATACCAGTTTTCCTCTTCGCCGTGATCATGTGGTGTAAGTTCCGCCCATGTCCCAGCAGTTGGATGGTTTTGTTGTAGTCGAGTCTGTTGCTGATGCAATGCAAGTGAGGAAACGTGGCTATGAGGTGGCCAAAAGAAGGTGGGGCTTAGCGACTGCCGTACTGATGAGCAGTCGGACAGAGGAGTTGTGCCGTAACCCAGCAGAGTGGGACTGTAGAAGGGCAGAGTGGTGAAGTCATGGCCGAGGTCTGTGTAGGGTGATGGGATGCAGATGGGGTGGCTCTCCACCGGCAGGGATGGAGAGGAGGAGTTAAAGATAGGAGAGAGGACGTGGCCTCCCACCCTGCTGGAGTCCACTTCCTGCAGCTGAAGTAGAGGGCTGTCTCCCTCGGGATACTCGGACATGGTGAAGGCGGACGAGTTCAGTGCTGTCATATCATCAACAGGGAACTGTTGATGTAAGTCATGTTGAACTCCTCACACATCGATACTGAAACCTGTTGCAGCCTAATACACAATCAACAGGAAGCTTTCCATTTATAGTGAGAAATTAACAGGAAAGGCACTGCTAATATTATTCATTCTGTATCTGTTCTAGTGAGCAGTTATGAACAGTTCTTAACTTTCAATCTCTCGAAGAAAAGCACATTCAAATAATCAATGACCTATTGGAAGCCAATGCATTAAGAGGTTCAAATTGCTTGCAAACAAAATCAGCATACCAACAACTTTTAAATAAATGGCTAAATACGATATAATCAGTCTAGAATGCATTTTCCAACTTCAAATGCACTCATAAAATGTTAAGGTCTCTGGTGGCCAAGGATTTTTAAATATGTTTCAATATCACATTATTTTTCACACAAACTAGATAAACTAGGTATTATAAGAAAATATTGTATTTTTGGAAAGTTACAGGTCCTTGGCATCAAAAAGCTTCTGCACTAGAAGATATAGGTTCATAGTTGTTGCCACTGCTTAGTCATATACTCAATAGCTAGGTAAACACCTTTCATGTCATAACGGTTACTATATTGTGTATTTTAGCAGAGCCAGAATGCAGTATTTACCAATCAGATTGGAACTGTCTTGTCAACACTACAACTGAAAAGACTGGAGTCAGTAAGATATTTTAAATATTTCTGAAGGTCTCTCATGCTCACCAAGGCAGCATTTATTTAAAAATAGATTAAAAAAACAGCAATATTGTGAAATATTATAACAATTTACAATAACTGTTTTCTATTATAATATACTTTAAAATGTCATTTATTTTGGTGATGGCATACCATGGTGACTCCAGTATTCAATGTCACATGATCCTTCAGAAATCATTCTAATATGGTGATTTGGTGCTAAGAAATATTTCTTATTATTATCAGTGTGCAAAACAGTTGTGTTGCTTAATGTTTTTATGGGGGAAAAAAATAATAATACATTGTCTGCCCAAAAAAATTATACATCGTATCATCATCATTTTTTGATTTTCAATGTGTCCTTGCTTCAAGTATCAATTTCTTTCCACAAAAAAAAATAAATAAATAAAAAATACTGACCCCCAAACTGTTGAACGATAGTATATTTTCATTAAGCTTCACCCAGACCAAATGAGCATCCTTAAGTCAATAATTACTGACAAGTCATTCACAGTGCAGGCTGGGTGACAAGACTGGATTAAGGAGGACTAGATAATCACACAGTGCTTTCCACCAAAAAACAAAAAGAGGCAAAATTCAATCAAATCCAACTTCATATATATATACTGTATGTGTGTGTCAACTTACTCTTATTCTTTATCACATAACAAATACATGTAAAATGTGTTCTTCTTTCGTAATGATCTGTATACACAGTATACACATCATTTACATTTAAATGCATTTGGTAGATGCTTCTATCCAAGGTGACATTAAAATGTACAGATTTTATCTGTTCATGCATTGCCTGGATTGAACCCATGACTATTGACATTGCAAACGCCATGCTCTAGAGGAACGCTCATAAAGCTGGTCTCATGACAAACGTCATGCTCTAGAGGAACGCTCATAAAGCTGGTCTCACTACAGTTTAATAGCAGATATTTGTTTGAATCTATTAGCTTGTGAATACTGAAAAGCAGCTGCGTTACTTGCATATCTGCCAATTTTAGGTCAGTTTAATAAACTTTCAGCCTGTTGCTAGGCCTGTCACGATAACAACTTTTTGTTGTGCGATATATTGCCCCAGAAATAATTGCGATAA